ACATAATAGTACACATCAGCACTCTCAACAGGTACAAAGACCGAAATACCCCTTCACTAACAGAAAGGATTTGAGATAGGTAGGGAGGCAGTCCCGGTTTCTCACTTGATGTTTGCAGATGACATTATACTTTTCCTAGAGGCGGATTGGGAGAACATTTCCATCTTAAAAAGAGTGCTAAATAGTTTTGAGATGGTGACTGGACTCAGAATTAATTACTCTAAAAGCAGCATTGTGGGCCTGAATGTGGATGGCCCTCTCTTGGAGAGGTTTAGGGAGCTATTGGGGTGTAAGTTGGAGAGGCTCCCCATTACCTATTTGGGAATGCCTCTTGGTGGGAACCCGAGAAGTCAAAGTTTTTGGGACCCGATAGTGGAAAAATGTGAGAAAAGATTGGCCACGTGGAAGAAAAGCTTTCTTTCAAAAGGTGGAAGACTTACACTAATTAAGGCTTCCCTTGCCAACCTGCCAACCTACTTTTTGTCGGTTTTTCGAATCCTAGGCAAAGTAAAAAAACAAGATTGTAAAACTACAATGGGATTTCCTATGGGAAGGGGGTGGTGAAAACAAGTGCCATCTAGTAGGCTGGAATCAGGTTTTTAAGCCAAAGGAAGTTGGTGGTTTGGGACTAGGACATATCAAAGAAAGGAACTTGGCCCTTCTTGGAAAATGACTTTGGAGATATCCCTTGGAGATGGAAGCGTTGTGGACAAAAACCATCAAGAGCAAGTACGGGAGACATGCCAACGGTTGGGATAGCAAGGTCCACTTGAACCGGGTCAAAGCCTCTAACCCTTGGAAAGGTATTACTTCTACCTATGACCTCTTTTTTGATTCTGTTAGATATCAGGTGCGGAATGGAAATAGAATCAAAATTTGGACTGATTTGTGGTGGGGAGAGGACACCCTTGCTAACTCCTATCCTAGAATCTTTAACCTATCCCAATCCAAAGAAGCCACGGTAGCCTCTAGCCTCAACCCCTCACCCTTGGGAACAACTTGGAACCTAAACCTCAGAAGGCCTTTAAGAGAAATAGAAATTGCTGATATAGCTAGTTTGCTAAAATCTCTTAATGAGGTTTACATCTCTCTTGCTACCCCTGACCAAAGAATCTGGAAACCTAATCCTGCTGGCAAGTTCTCCTCTAACTCCTTTTCAAGGCTCTAGTATCAGAAGATCAGAGGCCTCCTTTTTCGGCTAATAAAATCTGGAGATCACACATCCCCCGTAGAGTCTCTTTCTTTGTGAGGGAAGCTTGTTTAAAGAGAATAAACACCTGTGAGTTGCTTCAGAAAAAGTTTAAAGGCAGATTATGCATCTCCCCTCATGTCTGTCCTCTTTGTCTTGGTGACAGGGAGACAACTGATCACATCCTTCTCCACTGCCCAGTCACTAGAAAGATTTGGCACTTCTTCCTAAACCTAGTTGGTTACAGCTGGGTGTTCCTGGAGAGGGTGGTGGACATCTTGTGGCAATGGCAAGGTAGAGGGCTAGGAAAAAGAGGAAGATTTTACTGGAACACAGTGACCTGTGCAGTTTTGTGGGGCATTTGGGAAGAAAGGAACAATAGAACCTTTGAAAATAAAGCTAGAAATGTTGAAGATCTAACTTCCTACATCACACATCTCTACAACCTTTGGGTAATCAATCCTGAAGTGTTCAAAGGTCTCTCCCTAAATGATTTCCAGAGAAACCTTCCAGAAATCCTATACTCCTCTCCAAGATCTGAGTGGACTATGAGACAGGCTCTTAGAGAAGAAGGAGAAATGACTCTAAACTTTGATGGTAGTGCCCAAGGATCCAAAGGTCAAGCAGGAATTGGGGGTGTAATCTGAGGGGAAAGGGGGAATATTTGCTGGGCTTACAGTGGTCCGATTGGGAGGGATGATGCCACAAAGGCAGAGGTTTTGGCTGCACTCACAGGAATTCGCCTTGCCAAACGGCTAGGTTTATCCTCCTTAACCATTAAAGGGGATTCTGCAAATACTATAGCTTGGTTACAGGATAAGGGAGGGGCCTGGAGACTAGCCCACTTCTTAGCTGAAGCCAGGGATATCTTAGGTTCTATGAATGTGAAGTTGGTCTGGAATCCTAGGGAGCAAAATTCTGTTGCTGATATCCTAGAAAAATCAAGGGTCTCTAGAGATTTCTTGTTTAGTGACAGTTGTTTGCCTTTGTAATCCTGCCAATCCTTTCTTGGCTTCATTACCATCCTCTCATGTACTTCTGTTTGTTTCTTCTTCAATAAAAAAGTCATCTTTGCTTCAAAAAAAAAAAAAAAAAGATAAGTGCATGCATATGTACAATTTCAAATTCCATAAAATAACTTTGCAACCAACCATGAAGGGAGTGGTGTGGAAGGAGGATAAAAAGAGGGGGATAATGGTAAATCCCAAATTCCAATCTTTGGGTGCTTGAAAGGAGGATAAGAAAACAAATAAGTTTTGCTTTCTTATATGCTTCTTGCATGTCTGAATGCTCCTTTTCTTCTATTAGTATTAGTATTAGTATTACTATTACTCTTTTTATCTGATCCCTAATCTAAGAAGAATTGCAAACAATTTCTAGCTTGCATACTGTGCATGGTACATCTTTCTAAGAAAAATTACAGAGCAGACTAAAAAACATAGAACCATCTAAGGAATCTATCTTTCCCACCCTCAAAATCTAATTGCAGATTCAACTCCCAGATCATACTTGCAATCTTCTAGTTAAAAATTCTTCTTAAAGTAACATCTTCCTTCTTTTTATTTGGTAAAGTACATTTTCCTACCTTTGGTAGTATGTAGTTATAATTATCGAGTTTTTGTATTAAATATTCTCTTTCTATGGTTTTTAGACTGATCCTGTTTGATTCTTCTGGATTTTTAATTAGTTATTTCATTTTATGAAGGAAAAAATTGTACAATTTACTCTGATAACCCCTTTTTGACAATTTTTCATGGCAGAAAGTAACTGTCATTGCCATGACTGTTGCTAGTTCCGTTGGTCGAAGAAAGTTGTTTGCACAGATCAATAGCTTTATTGCTGTTTTTATACTTACTGGACAACTTACTCTAACAGTATGCTTTCTTCCCCTCCTCCTTTTGTTGTTATTTCTTGTGAGCAACTTGCTTTGTTGGGGTTAGTTTTTTATAGGATGGTTGTCCTGCTTATAGTTGCAAAGAGACCCCTTTATGGGATTTTTCCCCTGAAGCGTGCTTTTATTCTTTGTTTTTTGGTAGCTGAAGTGAGCTTTTATTCAAGCTAGAAGTATTATGCATATATGACCCTTGTACCATAAGAAGCTATACGGAAGGAATGCTAAAATTTCCAACAAAAGAAAATAATATATTTGATAATACCAACAGCTTTGCACAACAAACAGTGGATCTGGAGCTGATCCAGCCAGATCCAAATACCTCTACTGGGTTTAGGTCCAAGTCAAATCTAATCAAGGCAATCCATACTCAACTCATTTTATGTATTCCGACCAGATGTCAGGTACTCAGGTTGGATCCTAAGGTCAGTTTGGGGAGAGTGCAAATACAACGTTTAGAAATACCGGTTACAAAGTTTTACATTGTACATATTTCTATTTGCACTCTTCCAAAACTGAACCTAAAGGAAAATGCATGGGCAGTGGTATCATATTTATCCTTTAGTTATTGGGTCTAATTTTATACTTTTTTAATATAAAGATCCTTTATGATGATCTAAACCTGCTAAATGTGATTATGTAGAAGACATCTGATCCGATCCTCCCCATTTCATGCCCTAAATATAAGAAAACACTTTAAGGATGATTGATACATGAATAAATTGGGAAGTAATTTGTAAATGGTGTAAAAACACAGACATAAAGAGAGTTTAGTTTTTCCTGGAGGTGCCTAGTACTTTCTGTTTTAGGATAAAAAGTTGCCTAGAATTGAATTTAAGTTGATGGAAATCAGCCCCTTAAAGTTCATTTGCATGGGAATGACTGGTAACTAATTGATGCAGTGTGCAAAACTGCCAGTACTTATTTAGCATTGATGTCATTCAGTTAACTTTTATGCACATGGGGCTAAATGGTAATTCCAAGACTTGTGTCATGTGATCTGTGATATGAAATGTCGTGTCACTTGCATATGACTTTTGGGGCTTTAAAATTTTCACACTTTGGATTGAGCCTCCTGAGTAGGGGGGGAAGAGAAATAGAAAAGAAGCTTAAATAAGAGAAGAGATTTTGAGGGAATAGGGAGAATAGCCTCAATCGTGTTACTATTCCCTAATCTATCAACACTTATTTCTTTTAGGAAGTGGATGATTGGTAGATGCCAAAGGAGACATCTTGTTATCTCTTATAATAGAGATGTGATTCTCTTCTGACAATGAAGAGATAAGTTTCTAATTATAAGGTGTTGATTCCTTGCTCCAATTTTGGGATACCATTATCGACTGAGATTCTAGCCCTTGTGTACAATAATTATATTCTCTCTACATATTTTCCTTTCCCTTTATTTTTCTTTTTTCAACCTTTAATCTCCACTTTCTTCTCTATCTTCTTTTTTGATCTTAAAATCCCAAGTCACAATAACATTATTGTTTGTCCCTTCTTCCTACTTTGTCTGTGTGTTGTATTTCTTTCTTCTCGAAACTGTCTTTACATCCCTTTGGATCCCTATTTTGTACTTTTGGTGTAGGCAACCTCTCCTTGAGCATTTTCCTTTATCAGGATTAGGGACCTTATCTCGGGGCATAAACATACAATGCACTCACTGACATTGGTAGGAGGATGATGAAAAGATCTTCTACCTCCACAAAATTCTAGGACATGTTCCGCAATCCTAGTGAGCTGCCAGAGGTTACTGGTGTTACGTGAACCCTAAGACATCAGAACAGTTGCTTTGTGGCCCATTGCTCAAAGACCTAAGTCATGTCAAAAACCTTTACTCTTTCCATGACTTTATATTTTACATGTGTCTTTTCTTTTTCTATAGTGTATAGTATTTTGTTGATGTAAAGGGACAACCCTACTACTAAGTCATAGAAAGAGTACAATCATAAATGATAGATCTCTTAATTCCAGCCAAATATTATGCCGACATATCTAATCTCTTGAAATCCTTTAAAGTTGAGAACCTATTGAACATGAGGTCTTCCCTTATTATTTGGGTAAGCTTTGATGTTTAATGCTTGAAGGTGCCAACAGGCTCAGTTGGTAAGTTCTCTGGCTGGTCGCAGTGGAGACTCCAGATTGAATCCCGCCTTCACCAGGGTTGGGTGGTTATGGGTTTATGGGATAGATGATTAGATGGGTTACCCTGTTGTGTAGCCTCATGGAACCCAAAAAGAAAAAATGCTGAAATTTGAAAAAAAAAATACTTGCATTCATCTCCTTCTAGAAGCTCTACACTTTGCATAAAGAAGCAGCTATTTTAGAGTTCTATATGCTGTAAACCTTCAAAATTATGCTTTCTGAAGATCTCTTCATTGCATTTTCCATCATAAGTTATCTTTACTGATTACCTTTTGAAAAGGCATGCAAGGGATCATTCACCATCTGGTAAATGTTTATATAGTAGAACATTCTCACAAAATTAGTGATGCAGCAGCACATACATGGCTTGATCCTTATGATCCACTTTGGAATCCAAATGAAGGCCAGAAGATCTTAAAACAAAGATAAGGCCTATTCTTCCCTTTGTACCCCAAAAAATAAAAGAACAAAAAGATAAAGCCTTATACAACTTCTGGCCTCATTACCCCATCTCATGATAGGGTCCTGGGAGAAAAAAACTGGCAAGAACGAGAAGTGGGGCCTGCACCCTCTGTTGGGGCTAGCTACTGCAGCTCCCCCCTAGGGCTTTCTTAGACATGGGTGTGGTGCATTCAGATCAGAATATCTGCCACCTATCCAAGGACTATTACCCAATGACGGTCCTGGTTATCTGGGGTTTTGGGAGGGCTGGATTGCATAATGTGGATGAGTAAAATTGTTGCTTTTCCTTGGAAGAATGGTGCTCTTGATTTTTTTCCCCCAATCTAACCTTGCTCTTTTAATTCTTACATTTATATCTAGTTTTTCTTCATTTGTTCTTGAATCTTGGGTTATTCTTGATTCCTCATATTCGTATTTCTTACTTGATTCATTGCATGTTCTTGATTCATTGCATGTTTCTTGTGATCAGTCTTATTTGTATTTCTTACTTGATTCTTCTTTCTGAGTTCTTGCCGAAATCTGTTTTTCTTCCTGATTATTCCTTAATTCTGGTCTCATTTTGGCCTTCAAGATTTGCCCTAAAAGGAGGATAGAGAGATTATCCCTAGGATAAATCTCCCATATGCAAAGATAGCTACTTCTGAGCCCCATGTGTAAAAATCTCTATACATCATAGGATATTATTTCTTCATGCTTGGGTAGGAATTAACTATCAAGATTCCTTTTATGGTCCCACTTCTCTAAACTAAGTGATATTATGTTTGTCAACTCAACTTGCTACAGGGGCGTATTCTTACAATTGCTGGGGTTACTATAGCTCTTTGCTCAGCTCCATTTGTTGCTTTATCAAATATGTTAGCAATTGTCATCTGGCCAACTTGGACTGCTGTTGCTATTTCTGAGACTATGAGGAAGGTTAGTGTCACAGAATTGCTTAAGTGGAAATGCAACTGGGTTCATATTTGGGTGGATCTGTTAAGTTTGCTTTTTGTTCCTTTGCAGGTTGTTACATACGTTGTAACCAGACCTGGAAGGGAACTCTTATTCACTGTTGTATCACAGGAAGAGAAGTACAAAGCCAAGGCAAGATTCCTTAATAAAATATGCTTCCAGAAGAATAACATCTCTGCCCAGTGTAGCTATTTCTTATATAGGCACAGATGAGGATGTCTTGCTTCCCAAGTTGAAATTTTTTATGTTCGAATTCCATTATTCAATTAGAGCTTGTAAATAGCAAAATCAGGTGCAAACTCATTTAAACAAGCTTATGTTATAGCAGGTATGTATAGATGTAATCGTTCAAAGGCTTGGAGATGCTACAGCTGCAGGAGTGTACAAGCTGCTTTTTGGCACTTTTAATAGGAGCACATCAATTGTTTCTCTCTATGGTTTGCCTGTATGTGAACAGACTTCTCCTTGATTTTGTGTTCAGACAAGATGTCTTGTTGAAAACTTGTACAGGTGACCTGTACTTGTGGCTTCAACCCTGCCCAATCATGTTAGAGCTGTGGTTTTGGTGCACTATGTTTTTGATAAATAGGACTAACCTTATTTGAAACAAGAATCGAGTTAGATTCTTTCTAGAAGTTTCCCAGTTCAATTTTCCTTTTTATTGTGGTACGCTGTCTTTGCAGAAACAGGCAATGCCTAGATCACTGCTCTCAAACTAACATTGCTTAATTGTTGTATATCCATTTTTTGCTATAATGATCATGTCAAGGTAAGTTTAATAATGGCCCACCATTAACCAAAACGAAATAATACTGAAGTCTCTAATTAAGCCATCTGTATGTGATCAACAACTGCGCTTCTCTTATCATTCTACCAGTCGAACATGAACCAGTGAATCAAGTCATTAGCTTGAATGCCAGGCTTTTTTTTTTTCTTTTTGCATTGCTATTTTTAGAATTTAACTTTGCTGCCTCGTTGATATTTCAGGTCTGTTTCTTGTGGATTATTATAGCATTCCATTTGGGACGTCGCCAAGAGCAACTGTCCAGGCTCCAGATTGTATCCACAACGTAATATTTTCTAAGAGGATGAGAAAAACTGAGGCAGACTATTTTTCATGTATAGGGAGATTGCGGAGCTCTTAAAAGTATCTCATTATCGATGATATTAATTTTAGAAGGGTGCTACTTCCAGCACGATGGTCCTGTCAGTGCAGGAGCGTAAAACCATAAAACACGGGTCTTTTAATAATAATAACACCCTTATTGCGCTTTGTCATTTTGTATTTTATAGTCCATAACAGCCGGTCAGCTATAATGCAAGGGTTAGAGGTTTGTTAGTTCATAGCACCCTTATTGCGCTTTGTCATTTTTATTTGCCCATTTATGCCTTTTGTTTTTAATAAATAAACTAGCGGGCCCCTGTGCTATGCACGGAAAAATGATGTTAAGGTTTGTTAGGCTTAAAAACTTGTTGCTCCATGGAGCAATACCACCCGAGGGTAAGGATGGGAATTTTTCCTATCTCCATTTGAGTATCCGGTTTCCCCAACCAGGCGGGGATGGGATGGATACTGCCTTAGTGGGGATTAGACCTGTTCATGGGCCGGGTAGCCCGACGGCCCGGCCCGGCCAACACCCCGGCCGGGCTTGGTCATATAATTAGGCCCGCGGGCCTGACCTCGGGCTTAACACAGTAAGCCCGATTGTGTTTCGGGCCAGGCTCGGGATTTGTCAAAAAAGCCCGGCCCGAGCCCGGCCCGACTCAGTATTATATATTTTATAAAATATATAAATAATATAATATTTATAATTTAATATATATATATATATATTATTCTTTTCTTTATAATTTCAATCTCTCTCTCTCTCTATTCAGTCGCTTCAACATTAATAATAGTAATAGTATAGGCTAAATTTTGGGCTCGGGCCCGGGCCCAGGCTCGGGCTTCGGGCTTTTTATTCGGGCCGGGCTCAGGCCCAAGTTATAGGCCCGATGGTCGGGCCGGGCTCGGGCTTGGGCCTTAAAAAAATTTGTTAATACACAGTAAAAGCCCGGCCTGAGCCCGGCCCGGCCCGGCTCATGAACAGGTCTAGTGGGGATAGGGTGGAGGGATTAACAGGAATATCCGATTGGGGACTGGGATGGGGACGGAGAGTGAAGTCCACATCTCGCCTTGACCTCGATTATATATATTAAATATATAATATTATTTATAAATAATATACTATTTATATTATATATCAAAATAGATTTAAAACATTATTTGCATTTTAATTTTCCTTTCTTTTAAATAAATATCTTTCTGAAAACAAAGTTTTAATTAAAAATTTTGGGGATTTAGGTCCACGATGGGGAACCTGTCTCCATCGGGGATCAGGGGTGCATGCTAAATTTTTACCTGATGGGGATTATTTTAAAACTCGGGATTTGGACACGGAGTATGACTCGCTTAAAACCTGCCCATTGTCATTCCTACCTAGGGGGTCATCCCACGAACCCATAACACTCCCCAAACCGATATGTATATAATTCCAATAATTATGGTAATTATAAATGTAATATGGAAATTATTAACATTTTTCAATTATTTATTTGAATAATTGAAAGTTTTAGAATTTGACTTTCACTAAATTAAATTACCAAAATCAGTAATTTTTAGTAATTAAATTACCAAAATCACTAATTATTGCTCAACAATTATAGTAGATATCAAAATTACTGAAAATATAAAAATATATTTTTATTTATTGAAATTAATTTTTCACTAAAAAATAAATTACTGAATATTTTTAATTACTATCTTATAATATCATTAAATATTAATAAATTGACGAATAATATTGAAAGTATCAATAACTACTTATTGCTAAAAAGGTACTGATAATATCAAAATTACTGAGAATGTAAAAAAATTATAGTTATTGAAATAAACTTTTCAATAAAAATTACTAATAGTTTTTAATTGATAAATTTGTATTTATTAATATTTTAATTAATTATCAAATTTTCAGTAATTAAAGTACCAAAGTCGGTAAATTTTCAGCATGTAAGTTTTAGTAATTAAAATTTCCAATCTAGCGAAGTGATGAAAAATTATAGTTTAGGTGTTGATATTATTGAATAATATTCAACAGTATCAGTAATTATTGAAAATATCAAAAATAATTCACAGATTAAATTTAACTACGTTTTTTGGTTTTTTGATGGTTTATTGGGCATGTAATATAGATTAAGAGGTGTTTTAGGATTAGTTTAAGAGAAATTTTAGGATGGGTTGGCTAAGTGTTTGGGAACATATGAGAGAGAGAGAGAGAGAGACTCTAATGAAGAAGAGAAGGATGCCACGTGACTGCATACTTCGACTAGGTTTTAGGCAAGTTTCCATTCGTGTGGATTGGGAGGGATCACAAGAAAAGATGAGAGAGAGAGAGAGAGAGAGAGAGAGAGATTATAGGAAAATATTTCCTAAGTTAATGTTTTTTTTCCTAAAATAAAGTTGGTGGGGTTTCTTCTTAAATTAATGGGGCAAAAAAGGAGAAATTTTCATGACAGGTGGCAACTTCATGGGCTTCTAGAAGGAATCTTGCACCGCCTTTAGAATTACTCGGTTTGGGTAATGGCGCAAAGAGAGAGCATCTGACCTGCCAAATTCTTTTTTAGTATATGTATAGATGACATTCATGCTTGACACTAGAAAAATGTTATGCCCGAGCCTGAGCCTGGCCCGACCAACGGGCCTACAACTTGGGCCCGAGCCCGGCCCTAATAAAAAGCCCGAAGCCCGACCTAATAAATGAAATTCAAATTTTTCCCTATTCAAATGGACATTATCTATTTTAATTTAGATGTTTTTTTCCCCTATATGGGCCTACAAGTGAATCAACAACCTTCTTAAATAAAAAAATTTATTCAAATGGACATCACATAGGGTTTTTACTTAGGTTTAACTATAGGTCGGGCCGGGTCGGGCTCGGACCGGGCTATTTTAGCAAAGCCCGAGCCCGATTCAAATTTTATGCGGGCCGGACTTTTTGGCCCGAAGTTAAGCCCGCAGGCCAAAAAGCTTGTTCAAACCCGTCCGGGGGCCGGGCCGGGCCACCCAGCCCATGAACAGGTCTACTTAACACGTACAATTCGAGAATATTGGTGGCATATTGAAAGTTGAAACATAGCTGTTCTAGGAGCTGTTGTTATGCCTTCACCAAACCATGGCACCATTAAAAGGCCACGGCAAATTTCACCTGAACTTTATATGTCATTACCAGAGTCGATGGCCTAGGTGGGCTCCTAGGATCTCCTTATCGATCAGGACTTTGGTTTATTTCTCAGCCAAATAATAAGGCTCTGAATTCTGCAGAAGTGGAGAGTCTCGGACGGTCGGACGTAGTTCACATTGACCCCTTTTTTAACCCTGGAGGTGGGCAAATTATTTAATTTTATCCATGGAGGAGAGGGGGAAATTGGTCAAATTGTGTAGGATTAAAATGTTCTTATTTAAAAAAAAAAATTCTTTTAGTAAATTTGTGTAGTAAATTTGTTCACTTAATCACTTACCCATCTAGCAAAAAAAAAAAGAAAAGGTATTTATCCGGATAACATTCTTTCAGGTAACATTTATTCTGATAAATGCATTTGTTCATATAAATAACTTATTACCAAACAAATGGGGCCAAAATTTAAACTATAACATACTTGGATCTGGTTCTAGACCTTATAGTTTGTCAACATAATCGATGCATCAATCATTATACCATACTTGAATTACCTTATAATTAGAGTTTCTTAATTGCTTTAGTAATAGGGTCGGCATTTATTTTAGTTGTTATTTCAACGAGGGAGTTACCCTCAAATTGAATGGTACCTGATGTAGGCGCACATGGCAAGGCCCCAGATTGCGCCATATGGTATCGGCTGAATGAGATCTTGGCCATTCATCTCTAATTGCCTTCAACCACTTCATGGCAAGGTCAAGTATAAAAGGGAGTGCCCAGCTCAAGGTAAATCCATCTTATTCACTCTTGTTCTCTAGAGGCTTCGTATGAGCACTCGTTTCAAGTTTGGTTTGACCCCTCTTTAAGCACATGACTAACTTGATGGTCGGAGTTTCTGCCCCTGGGATAACACCTGGGGCCGTTGACGTGTGCTCTTCTCCTACTCTTAGGTTGGACTCATTGGCCTTGGCCAAAAGTGAAATTACTTTGTTGCCCTCGGCTCCATCCTTGGCAACAACAGCCCGGTGCGGCAAACCTAGCTCAGGAACATTTCTATAAGCTAAGGTATTGTTCGAGCTAGGGTGGCCTAAATTCTAAATCAAACTGGTAGTACTAATTTTCTAAAAACCGGTAATTGAAACCAAACTAAAGCCAATCAATTAACCAGTTGATCGGTTTGATTTTTATAAAATATATAATAAATGACCCTGGACTTGCACCCCTAGGTAGAACCAACCCATTGACAGTCCCAAAGTTATCTAGAACAGGACCTTGAGTACTTGAAATATTCTGAGTGATATTTTGGTATTCAACAAGAATATATCAAAGAAGGTTTGATTCATACTTCACTTAAACTGTTTGTTAATTTCTATAACTGGTGTGGTCATTTTTATGGGTTGACAGTTCAATGATTTGACCACTCGGGTCAGCGGATCACTGACCAAATTAATGGTTTTTGGCTGAAAACAGTTTTAGGGTGAAATGGAACTGGTTCTTGGGTCAACTGGTCTGTCCATCCGATTTGGTCCAGTTTTCAAAACATGCTATAATCAATAGAAAGAAATCTTGTTTATCATATTTATTTCTCCTTGATATGATTAATATAAAATACTAGTGTTTTTTTTTGTATTTTTCATATTTTTATCTTTTTTTTTAATTTTTATTATTTAATTCTGACATCTATGGTTGAACATTTGACCCAAAAGGTTAAACAGTTGACCTACCACCAAATGGGGAAATAATTTCATTTTTGGGTTGGTTTTACAATTTTGTTATTTTGTGTATTTTTTTGTATTTGTTTATATGTTAAAGTTTTATTATTTAACTATGACATCCAAGGTTCAAAATATTGATATGCCCGATATGCCGATAGGGGCGTATCGGGCGTTTCAATACTTGTTTTTTTACTTATTTTTTCAAAATTGGTTTAGGAGAGCCGGTCTAGGACCCCTCCATCCCCTGAACCGGTCAGACCCCCGATACACCCACTGTAGGGGCGTATTGGAAGGGCCCTGGAACGATACATATCGGTCGATATGTAACGAAACTTTGACATCATAAGTTAGGCCATTTGACACCAATGGTTGAATTTTTTAGGATGGAAAACAGTTCCATTTTTCAGTTAGTTTTAAAAAAATGGGTTTTATATTATTTAAGTGTATTGAAATAGAATTTATTAATGATAGAATAATTGAATATATATATATATATATATATATATATTCACGATATTCGAATCTTAATTAGTTCTAGCTAGCGATAAGAAAGAAATCAAAAAGATTTAAGAGAAGGCCATTAAGAGGGTTGAGAGTGCAACCCCAGCCTTATATATTTAGCCCAAAAAAAAAAAAAAAGAAAAGAATTTGTTCGCCAGTAGAATTGCTGTATTATAGGTATAGGATGCAATTATTGATCAGTAATAATAGAGCCAATAATGCACATGTACAGACAGCGATATAAATCTACTATAACTAAATATAATTCATGAGACAGTGAGCAATAATATTAATATGATATACACAGCCACTCAGCCACATATACATGCACATGTTTGGTAGAAAGGCTCATCAGAATGGTAGCTATCGTGCTATTTATTTTTAATTTTTTTTGGGTAATTAAGACAAACAGAGAGCGGACAACCAGGAAAAAAAAGCAGAAAAACAACCACAGACAGAATCAAAGCAGCGAAAAAAGAGAAAATTAACCTAGAAAAGCAAAAAACAAGGTTTTAAAAACCGATTCAGAGAATAAATTGGTCAGAGGTCCGGTTCCCGGGTCGAACAGTCTAACCGTTTGAACCGAATGGTCAGCCTGTTCTGACAAAATAATTAAAAAAATAAAAAACTAAAAACGGTTCGAACGGTTCAACTGCCTAGGTCAGCAATTTATTAACCAAGTCAATACTTTTTTGCAAATATCCAGTTTTGGAAAAAAAAACAGAACCGGTCACCTGACTGATTCCCGGATTTTCCAGTCTAACCGTCCGATCTAGTCCGATTTTAAAAGCCATGCAAAAAACAAAACACAGAAAAACTAAGTTACCAGACAGAAAAACTTCTTCAGGGGGGAAGTAAAGGATCGTCATCCTTTTCACTATTTTGAGGAGGCAGCCTGGGGCAGAAGAGGCAGCATTCACACAATCTGGAATTCTGGATCAGGTAGGCAATGTTATTGAGCACTTGGAATTTTTTTTTTGACACCGGTCCCTTAAAATACCTTCAAACTAGCTTAAAAAAGATTTTAAACTTACTTATTAGAGTGCGCCTACTAGATCCACAAGGCATGGAGAACCAGAAAACTTCAGACCCGAAATTTTCTTTAAGGGCCAGCTAGCTTGTGAACAGAAGCAACAGAGGCTCGATCCACACAATAAAAACTAAACTTCACATCTGAAAAAGTATATAAATATTGCCAGGCTTCAGGTTCACAATAAAAGGATTTCTAGGAGAGCACTTCAACCACATTAATCGAGTCACAAAAAAATTACAAATTAAGTTCCTGTAAACCAAGCCTTTTAGCAGCCAAGCAGCATTCATAAACCGCTGAAACTTCAGCAAAGAAAGCAGAAACCACTTTACAGGGACCACAATTTGCAGAAACAAAGTATCCAGAAGGATTTGCAAGCCAAAAACCAAAATCACTGCTCCCAGAAGAGACGAAACTGCCATCAGTTAGAGCTTTAAAACCAGAGCAGCTCCCAGCATTTCAAAAAATCATCTCCTTTCAATTGTTTAGAACTGGAACAGCTGGTTGCTCATGGAGGGTAAGCTTTCTTCACTTCCATTATTCATCTGCGAATTTGAAATAAGGAGACAAGAGGATTAGGCAAAGATTCCCCAAATACATAACCACCCATAATATTCTTACTGATAATTCGAGCACAAAACCTTCTGGATCAGTTAAGGAAAGCACTTTGTCTAGCCACCAAGCCCACCAATCTTTAAAAGACTCGAAACCGAAAGCCTCTACAGAGTCAACTGAGAAACTAATACTGCTCTCAAACCAAGCGGCCCGGGCGGGCATGATCACACTGAAATCGAGCATGAGCAATATTCTCAAAGGCTTTTCCAATTAACAACCTACGTACATTGATCATCTACAATAATGTTTCTTTTTACCGGGTTATGCTATTTTGACAGCATCTCCAAACAAAGTGCTTTAATTTTGGGGACTTTTAGGGTCAAATGGCTAGTTTCAGCATTTTAGGGGGTTTTTACAAAAATACCCCTCAATCAACAACTATCAACCTATAAATAGTTATATAGGGGGTATTTATGTATTTTGGTTTTGAGGGAGAAAATAACAATAATGCCCCCCAACATCTATATCCTATAATATAACAGCTAGTTTTGATGCTTTGGAGGCATTTGGGTAAAGTGATAAATGACTTTATAATAACCAAAATATCCCTCCCAACAATTAAAAATGGCTAGTTTTAATGGTACTTTGGGTAATCGAATTATTTTCAATTTTTATAAATAACCTTATCCTCCACCATTCTCATCATACAAATTTAGCAATTTTGAACTCTCTTCTCAATTCTTAATTCTCATTATCTCATATTCTCTTAGTCTCTCTTCTCATATTGTCATAGTGTCATACACAACAATTTAAGAGGCTTTGACTTTTGAGACTTCAATTGTTGAAATCAAATTGAGATTATGAACCGTTAATCCAGCCACAACCATCTAGGTAAGTACAATTAAATTAATCTTTATTTTTTAGAATTAAAAAAAATGACCGATTCCTCCTCCCTAAACCAATTTCCCAATAGTAAGTTTACTAGCTCGGTTTGGAAAGTATTTTAAATAGAGGGGGTTGAGGGGAAGGGAAAAAGAGTTGTTTTCCAAAAATGTAGGATTGACTTTAACTTCAGTAGCAAGGGTGTTACTGTCCACCTGGGTAGATATTTGCTCTTCCATGAAAAATATGATAAAAAGATATCTACTTTATGTTGAGGATAAATTACAAGACAAAGAAGGGCATGAGACTACTACACCTGATGAAGCAGATGATTGAAGTCAAGGAGATGGAGTAGTTTTTCAATTTTATTTAAATTATTTATTATTTTTTCAACAATGTAATTTTTTAATTTCAATTTGTAATTTTTTTATATTTTAAATGAAATAAAATTTCTATTGTTTTTTCCAATTTGTTTCATTTTGTATTTTGGTAAGTATTTTTTTTTCATTTCTTTGTTAGATCTTTTTTTTTTCAATTTGTTTCCAAAAAAAATTAAATATTTTAGTTTTATTTAGAAAAAAAATAAAAAAATAAAACAATTTATTATGCAAGACCGAACCACACACAAGGACCCGTTTTACAGCTCTACATCCACGTTACAAACTACTGATGGGTTGAACAATTCTGATTTTTGAATATAGGAATTGCCAAAAGTATAAAAAGAGAGGAAGAGACTCTTTAACATAGTAAAAAAAAACCAAGACTACGTACGTTTAACTTGTTAGTTGAGTGATGTTATTTTTCTGATAAAATGTGCATGGTAATATAATACAATTTCATTCATCTCTGGACAATATATTTGGATACAGCATGGCTTAAGAAATCCGGATACAATCAGGTCCATATAAAAGATCGAGACTAGCTACCAATTGACCACAAAATATATAACCATATGGATGTGGAAGCGTGGAACAATCAAATCGACCCTGCTTGGGAACGATCCATTGCCTTGTATCAAGTCTGAAATAAACCAATTCACATGGGCGCCCCTTGGAGTGTGCCCAACAGGCACCCCACAGCCCATCCTAACAGGAACATTTCCCAATTAAACATTTTCAATGGGGTGTAAATGTGAACTCGAAATAAACAGGGTGAGCCCAAGAAGTAAAGTATAACACATGTCATGTATAAATAAAATTAGAAAGAAAACAAGTGTGCGTTGGAATAGGATGTTAAGAAATAGAAATTGGCAACGGACCAACCTAACCACGACAAGTTATGTAACGTCATGTACCGTATATATAATAATGATGACGAATTGATGATGAAAATTGATAAGGAAAAAAAAATATAAAAAATAATTATAGGTAATATCTATAAGCCATCAATTTCTGATACTTCTTCATTTTCTTTGAGCGTTCCTTCTGTCTTTTTCTCTCAGTTCTGGTGGGTGGAAGGAGTTGCATTGAAATGCTATTTCTTTTGTTAGTGGTTCTTAATTCACCATTTGTCAATTGCAGAAATTCTTTTCTTTTATTTTATTCTTTTTAAGAAATTGTTTATGCGCTTTCTTGATTGAATGAAAATATGTTTTATGTAAGGTGTATGCCTATATAAAAAGTAGTTAGGGGAAGGTTAAGATAGTTTTCTTGTTATCAATCTTCTTTTTAATTGTTTAGTAACGAATTCTTTTTCGTAAACTTCAACTTCTACTCTTTTCTTTGAAGTTTTTCTCATATATTTTGTTTCCGTTTTATGTCAAAATTTTTTTTCATTAAATAAAATGCATAAATACAAAAGTATTCCCAATGCAAGACTGTAAAAGCTATTCCAATGGGCTTTGCACTGATGGCTGAATGCTTGCCGCATCATCATTTTATACAGAATTTGAACGAAACACGTATACACATAATTAGGAGGGTGGAGAAGGTGAGGTTGAAAGTTGGTTGAGCTGGGCTTATGATTAGGGTTTTCACACATTAATTAGCTTTATGACTTAGGTTTCGCCTCAATTCAACTCAACCTGCCGCTGAGTAGCCCCATTAATTAAGTCTCAATTATGGGAAGGAAAGAAAGTTTATCTGCAACATCAGTTATTCAAATACGTTCCTCCTATTAGCTATTACTAGCTGCTGCGCAGAGGATCTAGAGCAAAATTAAGGCATTTCCAAACACTATTATATAATTGGGAATGAAACATCCTTTGGATGTCCTAACACACACAAGTCCAACTGGATGCCCTCATATGACTCTTCCAAATTTTTTATAAATCTTTCCCAGAACGCCTTTCTATTACAAAATTAATTAGATGATGGAAAATGCCACCTCTCTTCTCCATTTTTTTAAAGGTTTCCTCTTTGATCACTTTGATGAATAAGATTTTTCTTGTGGTAAATTAGCCATCTCCAATGTAGTATATAGGGTGTATTGATGTTTGGCAGGGTATTTTTGTCATTTCATGGTTTTTATTTGTATTTGAAATGATAATTATTTCATGGGGATAGATGCATAAACCTATATTGTAGAATGACAATAAAGAAGGAAAACTAACAAGAACAATGTTATGTTATGTGTAGTGTTGGCGGAAGCACTCCAATAATATTAAATGGTTTTAGGTCAGTAGATGATTTTTTCTAAATCTGAAGTTTTTTTCACTTGTACTTCTTATCTGCACCTGAGAGAGTGGTTCCATCCAACTTACATATTAATTAAACAAGTTGCTAAATACACCAAAAATGCCAGCTCCTGGTATGTTTTGTTATTGCCCCATGCGGGAAAAAGAGATTATGCTTAAATCTGTTATCATAGCCATTTTTGCATATATAATGCCTTGATTTCTCCTCTCAAGTCTATTTGCAATAAAATTGTCACATTGCTATGTGAGCAAAGTTTTTGCTTGAATTGAAGGAGATCCAGATTCCATTGTAAGAGGGAATTCTAGTCGAGCAAGAACTCCAATTGGGATGGAAAGATTCATTGGTTGAATTACGAGCGGATTTGTAGAAATAAACTGGATGATGGTCTAGGGTTCTGTGATCCTCACTCATTTAATTTGGGCCTCCTTGTGAAATTAACTTGGAGATTAAATAGAAATGAAGAGAAACTTTGGGCTTAAGTGGTTTCAACAAAATACATTTAAATAACAATGACTTTTTTTTTTTTTTTTTGAGACGTCTTCAATAATAAAGACTTTTCAGTGAGGTCAACCTTTTCTTTGGCAAGATTTTTTTCATTAATAGATGCCCTTGCAGGTGGGAAGAAAGAATTCTTAAAAAATATTGGAAGTTAGCTTTGGAAAGTTGTTCATGAGGGTATTTCCATGGGTTCAGACCTTGCAAAGAGGTCCCTTCTTCCTTCTAATACCTGTCAGCTATGCAATAAAGAGTCTAAAACTGTCCTCCATGCACTTTGAAGTTTTCAATGCTAGGACCGAATCACAAAGGAACGATTTGATTTTTTTCTAAATGGTTTTTCTCATGACTGGAGAACCATTCAAAAAGAAAAAAAAAAAAAATCTGACCTTTAAATTCATCTAGCTTTTACCATTTGGCATATTTGGAAATCCAGAAAGTATTTATTGTTGGATGACTCTAACTCTTCTTGTTTGTTGGATATGAACTCAATTCACAAAGATGTGATGATGGAATTGACTATTTGGAATTTGACGTCATGAATGAAAGGTTCACCCCAAGTGAAGGACCCCGCGTTAGCTCCCCTTTTTTTGCAGCCTGACTTGGGAGTATTCAGATGGTAGGTTTGCTTTTTCAAATTTCTTTTTTTTCTTTCTTTTTTTTTCTTTTTTTTGAAAATAAACAGAGCCTCACGAGCCAGCCAGTCAGCCGCCTTATTTGCTTCTTTGAAAACATGTTGATAATGAAAATCTCCTACGAGCGTATCTCTTCTCTATAAGCAGCTTGAGATAATACCTTTCAATTTCTAGGGAATATCCATCTTTCTTTTAAGGCAGGAGATGACAAGAGATGAATCTCCCTCTATGATGATAAGAAACTCTTTGTAATTTGTAGCTTGGACATGGGCTTCCAATGCAGCCCAAGCTTTAGCTAGGTTGGTGGAACAAGTATCAAGTTTATATGCTTTGACCGCTAGAACCTTATGAAGATGGTCTACGATTATACAGGCCACTGAACATTTTTCATTACTATTGTAAGAGGCATCAAAGTTTATTTTAATATAACCATATTTTGGAGCATTCCAACTAATTTGTTTCAACAACTTGTGAGATGTGGTATAGGTACTGAATTTATTCCCATCAAAAGTTTCTATAAACATATTTAGAGCTATATCTAACAATATTGGAATGAGAGTAGTACCATCATTAAAAGTTTTGGAGTTCCTATTTTTCCAGACCACACATAAAACAAATAAAGCTAGTTTTTCCTTTATTAATAGAGTTTTGCTTTCTTTTTTAGTGTACATTCTTATCCACCAATCACTTAGATTTTCATTTTCATTTGGACCCTCCAAGGGTGTGTTTAAAGTTGACCAAACTTGCTTTGTGTGATCACAAATTTTAAAAATATGTGCAGTATCTTCCTCAAGCCCACAAAAACTGCAAGAGCCATCAATATTAAGTCCTCTTTTCCTCAAGTGGCTTTTAGTAGATAGTCTATTATTAAACAGAAAAAATAGAAATAATTTGATCTTTGGAGGGTATTTCAAGTTCCAAATGCTACTCAACCAATTAAAGTTGCTAAGAGGGATTGAAGTAGAGGAACATTTAAGTAAATAAGCTGATTTGATAGAGAATGTCCCCTTAGGATTGCACCTCCAAACCTTTTTATCCTCCATGTAATTAGGGGCAATATGAATAGTCTTAATGTCTTACCAAACATTTTCAGTGACCTCATTTTTAATTTTTGTCCTCCCTACTTTTTCAAATTTCAACAGAAAAGAAAGCTAGTTTTGGCACAGTAATTAGAGACTAGAATGGGAATTGCTTTGCTGTTTGGTTTGGTCGGTGTTCAACTTTTTCGGCTAGCTCTATCCCTCATCTTAGCTCATGCAGCAGTGTGGCCTCAATAAACTAATTTTGGAATCGAATTGGCAGAGTGATTAATTGTGCAAAGAAGAGAGTTTCCGACTGTAAGGTGCCAACTCTCCTCACTCTTGTTGGTCATAGTGGAGATTTGGGATTTGGGGATGGAAAGAGAGACCAATAAGCTCGAATGCAGAGGGTGTATTCAGGGTATAAAATGATGAAATGTGTTGTATTGATTAATGGTTTCCTTCCCCTCGCTCCCAAACATCTAAAAAGGTAATGCATGGCATGGTGCTCAATTAACGTGAATTTTGTTATTGGCATGCATGTTATCTATTGGGAATTTGGGATCCATAACAATAATGGACTTTAAAAAATTGAATAAAGAATTAATAGAAGAAAATAATAATAATAATAATAATTCAATGACCGTTAGACCCCGACCCTATATATATCTGATATTTAATGAAACAAAATCAACTTAAAATAGAAGACTTTTTTTACTGATATAACAATATCAAAAGCAAATGAAAACAGAAACATTGATGTTGAACACTCCCTCTAGCAAAAACGTGACCATGGGAGATGATGAGAAAATGAGGGGGAAATGGCACAACCATATCAAAATGCTAAGGTTATAATATAAAACCTCGTTATCCATGTGGGCAATACATAGCTAAGTATTCTACTTTTAATTTTTGTATCTATTCCATTCTATAATCTACTCTTATCCCTCTCTCTCGTTAATTTATAATAAATGTCCAAGCGTAACCCAACTACCAGCTACCGCTGCCACCGGCCAATACCCATACTGCCATAGTGTCATATATAGAATATGTGGTGGTTGGTTTCTTAGGTTTGGAGATGTGTGCAGCCTTGGTTTAATTTTTTTTTTTTAAGGATGGCTGAAAATATAACGTTGTATTTACCTTATCCGAACTCGCCTTGGCTTGTGCCTTTGCTCATTCGTCGAAACATATGCGTGTGTGTGAGAGAGGCCCATTCGGCGTAACCAAACGTGGCTGGGTTCTGGGCCTTCTAGTCCTGGATTGGGTTGAGACTTGAGACACAAAACAAATAGCCAGCCGAGCCGAGTCCAGCTCTGCTAGTTGCACCCACTTTCATTATATCAACTTTTCCTTGCAAGTTGCAACGCTTTACAATTGCGGAATTAAATCAATCAACCTCAAAAAATAAAAAGGAGTTAAAGCTAGGCTCTAGTGGGTGGTAGGGGTGATTATGGGCCGGACTTTGCACTGATATGGGTTATAGTTTATGCATGGGCCCAGTCCGGCCTGGGATTTTGGGCCTAAAATATAAGCCTTAGCCTAGGTCTATACGGGCCTAAGTCGGGTCGAATTCTGATCCAGTGTCTTTTATATATAAAAATAATATATATCATTTTATATTAAATGATATAACATGTATATAGACCTGTTCATGGCCCGGGCCGGGCTTTTACTCTTCATTAACAAAAATATGTTAGGCCCGAGCCCGAACCCGGCCCGATCAATGGACCTACAACTTGGGCCCGAGCCCGAAGCTCGAAGCCCAACCTAATAAAAAAAATTAGAAAATTTCCCTATTCAATAATCAATATAAATCAGAATTTATTTACATTAAAAAAATATATAAATTCAAAATTTATTTATATTAAAAAAATATATAAAGAAGGGAAAGAGGATGTGGAGAAGAAGAATTCGGTTGGAAAAAGAAGGGAAAGAGGTGAAAAAAAGAGGGGTATTCAACTAGGGTTTTTAGGTTTATTTATAGGTCGGGCCAGACTATTTTGGCAAATCCCGAACCTGGCTTGAATTTATTGCGGGTCGGGCTTTTTGGCCCGAGGTTAAGCCCACGGGCCTATATACCTGTTCAAGCCCGTCTGAGGGCCGGGCTGGCCCGTCAGGCCACCCGGCCCATGAACAAGTCTACATGTATATAAACTTATTTTATACATTTATAATATAAAATATTACATAAAATATAAATTATACATGTCATGTTATAATATTTATATATAAAATATATAATATAATATAAAATAATATGTATACATATGTAATTATACACAAAATATGTAAGTTTAAATATATATTGGCCGACCCGAGCCTAAACTGGACTTGAAATATTAAGCCTAAATCCGATCCTAAAATTTACGGGTCTAATATAAACCCAGGCCCGAAACGGACCTGAATACAAAAATCTAGACACAACCCCGAAATTTCCAGGCTAGACTGAAATGATCACCCCTAGTGGGTGAATGTCCAATTGTTCCACACTCCACACTCCATCCTTAATAGCCCCCGTATTATTGTAAATTTCATCAAATTAAATTGCACTGGCGACCGGCCCCATCTAAACATCTTCTTATAAGAAGGACCAGATCCCTGACCATGGCTAGGACCGAGTGAAGCCAAGCTGAATATCACGAAATACCAGAGAGGAAGAGAAACCGAGTGGGGCACGTCACCCTCTCACCGTGTTTTTTACTTTTCAAGTTCTTGAATTTTAAAACCGCGTCGCTGTTCGAATAATACACGTGGATGTCTACGATTTGTAAGAAAACACACCCTGCAATACGACGCCTTGTTATTTAAAACTCATCATCATTTTCTTTTTCTTTCTTGAATCTACTATTACTTTTTTAAAATTTTGAGCATTATGCCAACGAATTTTATCGTCTAAAATTCTCCTGCTATTAATATTTAATATTTCCGTCACATGAACATTTAAGGTCTATTTGATCCACAATCAAAATCTCTCCGAATAGAAATTGAATAGTCTAGTCTTGGTTAAAACAAGAACCAGAATGGGAATTACAATGAGCTGAATGGGATTTTTATTCCCAATGGGAGGGGAAGGGAATGTAATCAAATAAGAGAATGCCATTCCACCAAAGAATTAGGATTGTGATTTCGACTTTGTTCAATCAAACCAAACATTCCATTCCAATTCGATTCTAAACCCTTATTCCTGTAAACCAAATAGGCCTCTTAAGAGCCTTAAATGATCAATCAATGCAACTTTATTAAATATTTTTATGATAAAATTATTCTGGATTATTATGAGCAGCCCTAACTCGGGTTAAGAAGAGTAATTTTGTTGTAAAAAATTTAATAAGTTTGTTGGTTATTGGAGGAGTAATTTGGTAATGGTTCAAATGCTTATTTGAACAACTTGTGTATTAATAACAATGATTTAACTAATTAGAAAAATTAAATGGAAAGTGGGTTTTAGACAGTAAAACTCATTTAATAAATTGCGTTGATTTTTAGAAAACATCCCGATTCCCGGATATTATTATAACAATTAATTATTATTATTATTTAAAAGTGTAAAATATAGATATTTATTACATCAGCATCATCCTGTTCACGGAATCTGTTGAAGACCCAAATAAAAATAGAAGTGGTAAGTCGTAACTCGTAACCAAAAGAAAAGGCAAAAACCGAGAGTGGTGGCAGAAGTTTCCTCCTTTGTCCTTTGAGAGAGATGAAGTCCAGAGTCCTTTCCAATTTCCATAGATAGATAAATACCCCTCCGGCAGTCCAGCTCCCCGGCCCCGAGATAGATTCGGGACCGTCCATTATCCAATACCAATAGTAATATACTAACAAACGACCATTTCAGAGCTGCGACTTCTCTGGAGACGCACAACCCTCTCCTACTATTATTTTTAAGGGTTCCCCTCCTTTCCCTCCCTCTTTTACTCTCTTCTTTCCCATTTATATATCCAATTCCAATTCCCAGACTCTCGCTCCGTGTCCCATCTCTTCCACCCAAACACCGACCACGGCTCGATCTCTGGTTTTCCATGCCAGAGATCGAAGAGACGGCCGGCAAAGTCATGCCGGAAGCCTTGTTCGGAAAATATGAACTCGGAAAGCTGCTCGGCTGTGGCGCCTTTGCTAGGGTCTACCATGCGAGGAACATTCGAACGGGACAAAGCGTAGCCATCAAGTCCATTAGCAAGCACAAGATCATCAAAGGTGGCCTTGTCTCACACATCAAGCGTGAGATATCCATCATGCGCACGCTGCGCCACTCCAACATCGTCAAGCTCTACGAAGTCCTCGCCACCAAAACCAAGATCTACTTCGTAATGGAGTTTGTCAAAGGCGGTGAGCTTTTCTCCAAGGTTGCCAAGGGTCGTCTCACCGAAGATCTCAGCCGTCGTTACTTCCAGCAATTGATATCCGCCGTCGCTTACTGCCATTCCCACGGTGTTTTTCACCGCGATCTGAAACCTGAGAATCTCCTCCTCGACGAGAACGGTGACCTCAAGGTATCGGACTTCGGACTTAGCGCCGTAACGGAACAGATTCGAAACGATGGGCTGTTGCACACACTCTGCGGTACGCCCGCATACGTGGCACCCGAAATTCTATCTAAGAAAGGTTACGACGGGGCCAAGGTGGATATCTGGTCCTGCGGCATCATCCTCTACGTCTTGACTGCCGGCTATCTCCCCTTCAACGACCCCAATCTCATGGTAATGTATCGGAAGATTTACAAAGGAGAGTTTCGGTGCCCAAAATGGATGTCTCCGGACCTCAAACGACTCCTTTCCCGCCTTCTCGATACCAATCCAAACACGAGGATCACCGTTGATGAGATCCTCCAAGATCGGTGGTTCAGGAAGGGCTACAAAGAGGTTAAATTTCAGGAGGAGGATTTGTTCTGGGAGCTTAAACTAGACAAAGACGAGTACCGAAGCGACATGTTCCTCAACGCTTTCGATTTAATCTCCTTCTCTTCGGGTTTCGACCTGTCCGGTCTGTTTAACAAGTCGGATGAGCGGGAGGAGGACCAGAGATTCGTATCGGCTGAGTCACCGGAGAAAATAATAGAGAAGCTCGAGTTGATTTCCAGCAAGGAGAACCTAACAGTGACAAGAAAGAAAGACTGGCAGGCCGTGTTAGTGGGGCAGAATGATAATTTTATTGTCGCCGTCGAGGTGTATCGGTTGACTGATACTCTGGCTGTGGTTGAGATAAAGAACCGGAGCCGTAGCGTACAGTCATACGAGGAGATTTGGAGTAAGAAGATTGGACCTGAGCTGAGAAGTCTTATTTATCAGCCAGAAACGCTGGTTTCCGGTCAGTAATCGATACATCCGCGCTATTGACTACTTCCAGCGGGGTGGGTGGGCACTGGACACCGAGATGCCCTCCTTGTGATTCTTCGCCGGGAATCCTCTCCGGAGGGGGTTGCGGGCTGCCGGCAACCGTGTAAGAGGTTGATTTTAAGTATGTATATAGTTTATAACTTATATATAAAAAAGATGAATATATTTATGTTTTGGCGTTGATTGGGGATAAAAAGGAAGTATTTGGGAGAGCATTGGGCGAAACCAAACAACGAAAGGAAGAAAAGAATACCAAATTCACCGGGTAATGTAATTTTCATTTATTTTTACCCGGTTTTTTTGTTGTTAATTGTTTTCAATAAAGTTTGTACAGAGGAAGAGGAGTATTGTTATTTCATTTTTGGTGAAGGCTGTGTGTCACTGTGTTGATTGTTTTGTTATAAAAATTTAGATATTTCTTTGTCTCCGGCGAGTGAAGGGGTGCGTAGTGGGAACTCAAGACTGTATATGCATCATGCATGTGCTGACATTCTTCCCCAGACAGACTCCAGTCTCCAGACCTGCGTAGCATGCTGGAATGGTCAGTCATCGATAATGGCGCTTGATCTGATACCAACAACTGGTTCCGACATGCATGATGAATTGCAGTCGGGATGAACTGGGACGAGGTAGGGAGATGTTCCCGATGCACGGCTGAAATGGCTGTTGGGATCAGATCCCAATTCCTCAATTCCTCATGTTCAATGTATCTGGTCGGTTTCCCAAAAAAAGATGACGTTGGAGAGTCGGGATCTGCTAATCACAATTCACAAAACGAAATAGGGGAGATGCTTCCGGTGTGCAAGGCATATACGGATTGTGGCCAGCTTTTTTGTGGTCAGCAGATCCGCGCTCTACTATGATTATTTTATTTACTTTTTTTTTTGATAAAAAACGAAATTTATTAAAGGGTAAAATACAAAAACGTCCCCTGAATTTTCTGAAAATCAAAAAAATCTCTCATTTAGTTTTACTTTAGCAAAAGCCTTCCTTAAATTTTTAAATAATTCAATAAAAACCTCCCTTCCATTATTAATTCAGACGATAAAGACATAAAATTACGAAATTGCCCCTGATTAATAGTCAAGGCATCATTAAAAACATTTTTAAAATGCCAAAATTACCCTTGTTCGATTAATCTCTTTTTTGCGTTTTATTAAGGTTAAATTGTTTTAGTATTTAACTAAAGCAATTGTAAAGGAAAAACCAAAACCGCAGCTTAAAATTAAAATTATACTTAGATTGTTTAAGTATTGAACTACACTCAAAACATAAAAGTTGTTTAATACACTAAGAAAATTCAACAAAAATTAAAAATATATATCTTTGAACCTCCTACCACAAAAGCCTTTTTGTTCATGGAAAAACTAATACTCAGTTTGGAAGGAGTATAAATACAAATTTGTAGAGTGCAAAACCTTATATTTTGTATTATTTTGTATATATTTGTACTAAAGGTTCAAAATATGGATACATTGATAGGGGTGTATCAGACTATATCAGTACCTTTTTTCACTTTTTTTTTATTTTTTCCAAAACTAGTCCAGGGGGGCGGTTTAAGGCTCCTCCACCCCCTAAATCGATCAGAACCCCAAAACACCCTCTATAGCAACTTTCCATTATTGTCATGATAGATGACACCTGAGAAATCCGATGGGTTGACACTTTTCCCCCATCAAGATTGTTTTTTGCCATAGCCCACCATCTCCGAATCCTTCGTCCTCTTCAGTGTCGATTTCGAATTAGTCGTGGGAAGCTGCTTTGGCATTGCTAACGACAACTTGAGCAGTATTCTTGGATTGTTAGTCTCCATTTTGAACTTCCTTGAAACCCGATTGGCCAGCTCGGCACAGAGAGTTGTTGTCATTAGAAAAGATTGTCGATGGAAAAGCAAAGCTTAGCAACAGACTTTGATGCAAAGACCACAGTGGATTCTCGTTAAGTAGCTTCCCGTTGCTGTCATAATAGATAACACCAAAGAATTCTGGTGGTTGACACTTTTTCCCCATCAAGATCGTCTTCTACCACAACCCACCATCTCCAAATCCTTTGTCCTTCTCTCCAACGCCTGTTTCGGATTCTTCATTGATTCTCTTGTGGTGCATTGCGATTGCCTTGTTGTTGAGAGTTGTGAGAACTGCTTTGGCGTTGTTAACAGTGATTTGGGCAGTGTTATTGGATTGTTAGTCTTTGTTCTAAACTTCCTGAAAACCTGTATGGCCTGCTTAGCGTAGAAAATTGTTGTCGTCAGATTGGGATTTAGACACAAAAGAATTTTCACCGGGCAAAGAACAATCATCAATGAAGAACAATTGCCAGAAAATGAAAGCTATTCTCTGGTGAATGGAATATTCTGAGCAATGGCACCGCCGCAAGTGGTCTTTGGGTTTTTTTGCTTTGAAAAAGAACTGAAACAAAGTGTAAAAGATAGATTAATCGAACAAGGGTAATTTTGACATTTTAAAATATTTTTAATGATACCTTGATGATTAATCACGGGCAATTTTGTAACTTTATGTATTTATCATTTGAATTAGTGACAGAAGGGAGGTTTTTGTTGAATTTTTTAAAAGTTCAAGGGAGGCTTTTGCCAAAGTGAGACGAAAAGGAAGGTTTTTATGATTGTCAGAAACTTTAAGGGAGATTTTTGTATTTTACCCTATATTAGCCCCCGGGCCCTCCCCTTATAAACTGCATCTTCCCCGTGAATTTAGCATGAATATATAGTTAGGATTCATGCTACCTGTACAATAAAACTAAAAATTCTGAAGTGGGCTGAACGGCTATTGTCCAAAGACAAAGGCCCTTGACACTTGACTGCAAGGGCATGGGACAGAAAACCTTTTAACAAAACGGAGAAATACACTGCAAAATTCTAAAATATAGCCCCCATAGGTATCCCTTTAACAAAAGACACACTAATGCTCTTTATCTTTCACATCATAGCCTTTTCCAGCACTTACAACATGATTTGTATGGGTACATCTCACCATAAGAGAGACTGGAACCCACTATAAGTCTGAGACACACCGACCATGCATGAAATGTGGGGTGGGGGACTCGCTATAGAAGAAGAAAGCGAGCAGAGTGGAACTATAAGGCCCTCCCTCCAAAATGCGATTTGTTTTCCTGTAGTCTGTACAAACTACAAAACACGTGCTTGTGCTAGTTTCCAAAATTGCTTCTATTAATTTGTTAAATTTTGGATGGTTGGCATTTTTTCATAGTTAGTAGACCAGCACATTGGGTCATGATTGAAAATAATAATTTCAAATTAAATTAATAAAAAATGTAGCCCACTAATTATTAGTGGAGACGACAACGTTTCTAGTGGGTCAAGCCACTTGCCAATGTTTCACGTGATTTCAAAGCAGCATACTCGAGTTACACGTATTTTTCTTCTTTTCTTGTTTTACAACCCAAGCGAAATATTGTCGACGCTACTCAATCCTACCTTGATCGGATTGGATGACATATGAATCATGTGATTGACAAGTTCCAACCTTACAGGCCTTTTGGATTATGAAAAATGGCCAACTATATCTCACGGACGTCCTAGAGAAAAAAGGGAAGGGAAATTGTCTAAAATTCCCGTGATTTTTCAGCATCTCCTAAATTTTCAAAACGTCCACAAGAGAACCCGTAATTTTATGGTTTTTAAAACCGGACCGGACCGAAAAAATCGAGAACCATTTTTCTTGAAAACCAAATTTTTACAAAAAAAAAAAAAAAACGTTGAATTGGTCAACCAACTGCTGACTTGAGCAGTTGAACCATTTGAATCATTCAATAGTTTTGACCATTTTTTATTTTTTATTTTTTATCAAAACGGGCTGATTGTTCGGTTCGAGCAGTTGGACTGTTCACTCAAGAACCGGACCCCTGATCGGTTCGTTGTCTGAGTCGATTTTAAAAACCTTGAGTAATTTAACCTTAAATAGACCAATGGGTGTAGTAGATTACCATTTTACCCTTTTATATTTAACCCATGTCAATAACATCATCATCTTCATCGGGGAGGAAGAAAAAAATGATGACTAACTGTTCGGTCACCAATGGTGAAGAAAATGGTTCTCTTAGCACAAGGCCTATGCCAGGGTTGGTCTCCTCAAAAACCCTAGCGGTGTCTACTATGACCGGATTATCTCTTTCGGCCTCGACAATTTTTGGGCTTCTGTTCGACTGGAGCTAGGGATGTCAATTGGACTGAATTTGGTCCAATCTGATCTAGTCCAATGTGAGTCCATTATAAATGGACCATGTCCAATCCAATCCAATGAATGTTTTGGACTAATTTGGACTGATCCAATTCAATGTATGAACCGTCCAATTTATTCAAATTCATTTAGATTTATATTGGTTTCAACCAAAACCCAGTCCATTGACACATATATTCTTATCTTATATCAATGGACCAAATATTGGCTTAATCCAACCTAATCCAATATAAATTTGTTATGGACGAAAAAGGTCCAATCCAACCTAATAAATATTTTGGACCAAATTGGTCCAATCAAATATGTCTTATTGGTCCGTCCAAATTGATTTTAGATTAGACAGGTCCAATCCAAAACCAGTCCATTGACACCTTTAATTGGAGCCGTCTGAATATCTTGTCATCCGTCCTTACCCTATTCATGATCTCATTTAGTTCAATCCAATTACTCATACGGTACCATCGAGGGGTGAGCTTGCTTATGGATGTTTGGAAAGTTTTTTACAATTAATTGCAAGGATAACAAGATTGATCTTAATGGTGGCAATTTTACGCTCTCATATGATACCAACATTGCTCGCCAGACAATGCTTTCTAATTCCATTGCCATTGTTTGTGCTGCTTTAAGTTGCTTACTTGATTTCTACAAAGTCAAACACCTTTGTGGTTGTATAACCAATAGTGGTAAAATAACCAAAACCCCCTCTTCTCCTCCGCCTATATCTCTCTTCCACCTACAGCTTCGTCATCCTCTTCTTCTTTA